TTTTTTTCCCACCTTTATTTATAGGTTCATGTATGCTTTACTTTTCATTGTAGTGATGCGTTGTATTTTCCTCTTTTACAGCCACTTCCAGTTCTTGCCTCGAATTCCTAATTAGTATCCCTGTCCCCCCTTCTTTATTCTGTCCCAATTTCTATCGTCAGAGCGGCATCTGGGTCCATCACCCACCATCTCCCAATTACTGTCTCTGCTTCGAACTTCTGACCAGTATCCTTGCCCCCTCTATCCTGTCTACAATCTCTGCATCTAGCGCGGCATCTGGACACCCACAAACTGCTATCCTCCAACCACCGTCCCACCCCACCATCCACCACTTCCGATCATGCCATCCAGCCATCAAGTGCTGAGTGACGCTACCCAGTACTTGCTGACAAATGCCAAGCAGTGCCGATAAGCGACGCCCCAAAATGCCATTAGCGGAGAAACGAGAACGTTCCTTAGTGGCGGTCGGGCCGAGCAAAGTTTTGGTAATTGCCTAATAATGTGGAAAGCTGCCCTCAAAAAAGGGGTAATATGTAGGGAATTTCTTTAAAGAAACTATACGATCTTCGAGAATCTTTGGATCTAGCGCACAACATTACAACGTGTTGAAAAAAACATGCGGGCACGAAAGAAAGGATATAAGTAACTGTTAAAACTTCCCAGAAAACGCGTACCTCACCACCTTTTCTTCTTTGTCATGCCATGCTTCTGCTCGATCGGCATCTTCTTCCGCTAAATCTAACCATTTTGCGAACGAAGCCAACCTTGCCAAAATCCGCTGCTCATTTCTTTTAGATTTACCCAACGAGCGCTTGAACCGTGCGATCCGCGCATCAAAAATAGCTACTTTCTGTGCAAGTTCATCAAATGCACTGTGCCAGTGGGTACCACTGTTTTGTACCAATACTGCCGTCTGCAATGTGGGTAACATGCACCAAACAAGCCTATATTTTCGGCTTACTACGAATTTCGTAAGTGCAAACTGTTCGCGAGGTCATCATCTTTAGAAACTACAACCGAAATTCAGCAGATCCGAGAAATGTCACAGACAGATACTTTATCTAAGACAAGCATGAAAGAGCCGCATGCTTTTCGTCATGCTGCTATCACGAAGACTCCAACTGTAATCAAAACTCTGCAAAAAAAAAAAAAAGAAACACTGAACCAGTACTGATGGGAAGCAAATTAATGCTGCGAGTAAGAAGCCAATAAAGTCTGAAGTGGCCGATGGTGAAGGCACACAAACCTGACTGAGCTCGTTTTTCCAAGGAATCCATTTTGCACTTTCATCATTTTCAAGTGCTTCCAAATTTCTGTCAACGATGTCGCGTCCAATAATTCCCTCCAGCTGGCCTTCCCGTTCGGATAGAAGTGCCAATGATCTCTCCATACAATCCTCCATAGTCACTCGCCGAACTTCTTGCCGCTTGTTCATTATTGGTGTCAGCTTCAAGAGAATCTGCAAGAAAGCAAATAAGTAAATAGGCATGCAGCAACACGTGTTT